AATAATAATTCGCACACCAACGACAAAAATACACATGTGTGTGTGGGGCCATTATTTTCGCACTCCCCCGAACCCATTAGAAAATAAATAAAATATCTGCAAGGGCAGAAAAAAAAAGCGTATATAATAATATGAGAAGAGGCAGGAGAAAGTGTAGCATGTGTGCGCGATAATAATAACATCAAATTAAAATATTGTAATTCGTTTTATGTATTTATATGCATTTTTTCCTGTCATGTTGGGTTTTTTCTTTATTTTGTTTTCCAAAGTAATTTATTTATCGCGCATGTAGGTGGCACTTCTCATTCACTTCTCCAGGGTATTTGGCTGGTCTACTTTTATCGCATAACCAACGGCTATCTAAGGCCCCCCTATTTATGGCCTAATATATTATATATTTATGTGTCTGTCATTTAATAAATTCTGCTGATAATGTCATAGACATCAGCGTAGAAATGACCTCCGACCCCGCCGGTGACTCCGAACTCCAAGTGCCGAGTGTGTGTGTTTTTGGTGCTTCGCATGATTTGCCTCGCATGATTTGTGTTGGTCAAAGTGGCAGAGGAAAAAAGGCCAGGAGGAGTCAATTTTTATTGTTGTTTATTATTATTTATTTATGTTTACGGTTTGCCCTCTGCCATTGTTTGCCCCTGCTGATGTACGAGGCGTATACGTAATATTGGTAGTTGCGGTTTGAGAAAAATTCATTTGTTTTTTAAATAAAGGAAATATAAAAATCTTTTTTTTGCATTTTATGTGTATAAATATATATATACACATAAATTATATATATAATTTTAGCGAATTATAAATAATAATAAATAATTTTTATACGTAATTTTTTTTGCACTAAAACATTAAATTAAAATTTCTATAATATTGGTAAGTTTTTATTATTTGCAGAACCTTTTAATTTACAACATTCTTTTACATAAAAAATAATAAAAAATCTATACAACTCTTTTAGCAAATTAAGTGCTTATACTCTATGCGTATACGTAATTTTTAGCACGGCGTATACGTAATTTAATGTTTTTCCACTAAAATATAAATCAAAATTTCTAAAATATTGCAAAATTTATACAATACACAACACTTTTAAATTTACAACCTCCTCTTATTTAAATTGCAATTTACATGGTTTTTTTTCTTCCAGAAACAATGAATTGTCAAACAATTATAAAGCGCACACCCACGATTTTGTTTTGCACCCCTCTTCAGCATTTTCCCCCCAAACATATTACCGTTTATGCAGCATTTTCACTGCTTTTCATTTGTTGTTCTTGCCGCTGACTCAGCTGTCAATGCTCGCCCCCTCCAATGCCACCACTTTCGACCCCATTTGCATATCACATTCACGAATTTTTTTGTGTGCTCTCAAGTGGGATTCATTTCGATACTCAAAAATTGCTCAAAAGCCTTCAAATTGTGAGCCATAAATAACAAGGGCGCAAGAAAGCCCAAGTGATGGGTAGAAAAAAAGAAAGAATGGAAGAAAGAAGGCTGCTTTTGTACTTGAATCGATTGTTGGCAATGAAGTCAATTACATAAACGGCAGGGGGAAATAAAATTTGGGAGACATGAGGTGGACAAATTATGCCAAGAAGAAAAAGCTTTGAATAAGGAAATATCAATAAAAGTGTCAGTTGGAAAAGCTGGGGAATAATTCAAGATGAAAGGTTATAATTGCATTTGAATGGAAATTTTCTAAATGGGAGGAAAAAATAATGTGGATTTTAATATAATTAAAAAGATGGTCAAGTTTTTTTTTCTATTTAAAAATGCATGTAACTAAATAAATATGAAATATTAAATATAATACTTATATTAATTGGTAGGAAAATTAAAAATGAAGTCGCCAAGAAAGCGGAAGTAAAGCGGGGAAATGCAGGAGTAGGAAAAGTGACTTGGGGGAAAATCAAACAGAGGGTCAGCCGCCATTCAACACCTGCCACGCCCCTTCTGCCGAGCATCCCCTTTGCCTGCCAATTTTCAACACCAGAGGGCGTCAAAGTGACGTGTCGTCTGGCTGGCTTTTCCTGATTTTCCTGATTTTCCCGCATTCCCTTCGCTCTTCCCCCCTTTTCCTTGACTTCTTTGCTTTTCCCGCCCCTCGACGAGTTCCCTTCTCGTTTTTGTGTGTGTGAAGCATTTAAAAGTCACTTAAGTGGAAATTAAAAAGAAATTATTCACTTTGGCACACACACAAACACACTCACACACACATTAAGTGTTTTCCCAGCTTTCCTTTGCCTCAATTGCTTTTTTATTTTTTCCAGATTTATTTTTATTTTTTTGCTGCGCTCCGTTTGTTTGTTTGCTGTAATTGTTGTGGTCTGCCTCATTATTTGTATCTGGTCAAGGGAATGCGGGTGAAAAGCGGGCCCCAAAACCGACCCCACTGCCGCCCCCCTTTAATTGTGGTTCATTTTCCGACTCTTTTGAGTTTTGGGTCCCTTTTGGCTTGTGGCACATTTTCTACATTTTCCTGCATTTTCCTACATTTCCCTACATTTGACCACAATATTTTTGTGGAATTGCTCGCAAATTGTTTATTGCCGACCTCAAAGCTATTTGGGGATTATGGCCAACGGAGAGACAAGGTGTTGGCCATCATTTTGCCCATTTTCCCAGGCATTTTCCGACCTCTGCTCTGAGCTGTACAGCTTCGGGGCCAGATTAATTTTAATGGCAATTAGTGAATCAAATTAGAGCTTAGAGTTTAAGGCCTTAACTTGTTGTTCATCTTCGGCGGCCAGGGAATCGCTTTTGTGGGCCATTCATTTTGGGTTATAACAAAAGTGGCATAAATTAAATTTATATACACTTAAATTTAAATTTATTAAATGATTTACTAAATAATTAAATGTATTCATATTAAACCTTGCATTGTCTTCCAATAAAATAAAAAAATATATAAAGCACAGTGTGACCCATTCGCTATATTTTTCATTTCAGTGTGACCGAACCGCGATAACATAATGCTTAGATTTTTTCCCCAAATTCAGCTTTAAATCAGTTTGCAATTTAAATCACAAGAGACTTTTTCTTTGCTATTCCTTTCCCCACTGCAGTGCTTATAATTTCCGTCCCCTTTTTTTGTTTCCCCTTTTGTATTTGTGTCATGTTCAAAGCAAGCATTTTTTTGATGTCATCCGCGGCCTCATCAACTTAATCATTGAAGGAGAAGGAATAATTTGCCTGGCACAGATCCTTCGTCCTGCCTAAAAACTCAAAAAAAGGCAGAGCACAGAAAACAGCAAACAGAAGAGGAAAAATAAATAATGTGAAAAGAGGAAACATTCAGCTTCGTTGACGGCGACCCATTGACCAAGTTAAAAAGGCTAGAGCTATATGGCATATACACATACATATGTGTATGCACATGTGTGAGTTATGCAAACCATGCATGTATCATATATATCACATATATATCATATATATATATATATATATATTTTCTCCTTTTGCTGCGGAGGCACTTCAAATGCGGTTTGGGGCCGCGGAATCAAGCGCCAAGAGACCTCATAAAAAACGACTAACGCGACTATGGCCCACACACAGATACTAACCAACACTGGCGCACATATTGAGTTGTGGCTTAATGCCACACACACACTCACACACATAAGGGTTCAAAGTTTGGCAGAAGGAGCGCAAAAACCAAAACAGAAATATTTCGCTCCATTTTTTTGTACGTGGTTTTCTTTTTCATTTTTTTTTAATATTTTCTTCCCACAAAATTTGTGTCATGCCATGTGCCCGGGATTGCATAACCCCCTTTTTTTGGGGGGGAGGGGGTTGGGAACTGCACCACGCCCCTGTTCAGAGCCACAGCTTCATTTGGCAACTGAAACAGATTAAACGGGGAAATTGAAACTAGACGAAGAGTTGGAGAGGTAAAAGAAAAACAGCAGTTATCTGATTAAACAGATAAAACTGACAAAATAAGTAATTTAATTATAGTCAATCTTGTTTATAAGAAAAAAGTTATTCCAAGTTTAAATCATATGATAAATAACCACAAAATATTATTTTCATAAGAATAGTTTATTTCTGAAGTTTTAAGTTCATTTGGTAGATACTAAACAAAGAAAATGAAATTGACAAATTAGGCAATGTAAATTCTTAAGTAATATAATAATCTATCAAGAGTAGCAAATAAATATTTATTTAAATATTATTTTCAAAAGATTTTGAATAATTAAAGTTGAAATTTGTTCGCTTTTGCGATAGATCTGCATCTGATATTTCAATTTATACTGGAGCTGCAAAGGCAACTGGAATTAGGGATTAGGATGACAGGGCGACAACCACAAAGCCATCAGCACAGCAGCCGAGCTTCCATTTTCCATTTCACATTTCCCATTCGCCGCCCACTTCATCGAGTTCCACATTCGCTTCGCTGGCAACTTAAATTTTTGCACCCCCCTTTGTACGCAGGGACGGAGTTCAAATAGAGCGGTGCTTTCAAGAGGGATTTCGCATGTCGGTGGGGAGAAAGTGTAGAAAGGGGGGGGGACTTTCCACAAGCATCTGTGATGCACTGCAGCCACGGCAAAAAGTTCATTAATCTAGTTACAAGTTCGCGCAGACAGTTCGCATAATCAATCAATAGACACACGATGGGGTTTTTTTTTTGGAGGATGGGGAGGGTCTGGGAATTCTGAGGCGTAAACATGCTGTAGCCCCCCTCTAAGCCCCACCCCACGCCCCTGTGTATAGGTAGGCGTGACTGCTGAAGGAGGCGGGGGGCGTGTGACAGTTTTTTTTGTGGTTTTCTGCCCGCTGAGTGACAGGAACAGGATAGCATTTTCTAAGCGGGTTTTCTCCGGGTTTTTTCTGCCTTTTCTCCGACTTTTCTTTGCCTGAAACTGGCTAGAGGAACAGTGAAAGATGTGGCGTAAAAATTAATTAAATGAGAACATGGTCTATAAAGATCACATAAAAGTGCTTCATATTTTCAACACTCTTAAAAAAAATTAAAAAAAAATTATATATACCATTTCATAATTTTATTATTATTGAATCCAAACACAAACCAATTTTTTTCTTTCCACATATTTTAGCACACAGAATTTTCCAATGATCTGCCGTTCTACACCATTCGCCATTGGCTCCTCGTCATCCCGGTTATTGCCCTTTTCCGCCGCAATCTCCCCGATAGGTTGCCGACTATTTCGATTAATGTGGCGTTTCTGCCCTTCTAAACTTTTTCAATTTCGCCAGTCGATTTATTTCGATTCTTGATCACCGCCTTTGGCTCCTCTTCATCTCTATTATTGTCCTTTTCCGCCGCGATCTCTCCGATAGGCAGTCGATTATTCCGATTAATGTGGCGATGAGTGCGGTGATGATGACAGTGACAGCCACAGCCGCAGTTTTGCTCAGCCTGCCTCCGCTTCTCCAGCTTCTCCAGCCGATTGCGGGTTCTCACCTCCGGATGCCCGAAACAGTTATCGCACTCGTCGTCCGTCGAGGAGGAACTCTCGCCGAAGGGATGCGGCCTTCGATAGATGCAACAGCACTTCGATTTTCGGCGATTCATGTGCTCGTTATCGATAACGCCGGCATGGAAGCCGACGCGCCTTCGGCTGGGCGTCGTCATCGTCGGCTGCTCCGATTGTGCCGCCAATCGAAGGCGCAGCAGGCTGGGGGGAGTGGCCAGGGCCACTTGATCTGCGGAATCCGTGCTATCGGCCGAATTGAATCCCGAATCTGTCGTCGTCACCTTCATGGAGCCTCTGTTCTCCGTCGTCTCGCCATCGATAGTCGATAACATGGCCTTCGGCTGATCCATGGGCAAAAAAAAAAAAATTAAAAATAAAAGAAAAAAACGCTACGAAATTTTGGCGACTTAAAAAAAAAACTCGTTCCGAAATGGGTTATCTGTTTTCTGTGAAGCGATTTGTAAAAAAATTCTATGTGAACTAAACAGCAGATGAAGTTTTTCTCATCGCAACATATGATATTTTTGTACCTTGGGGGAATATATAATATTATAAATGTAAAGACTTTTATTTAATTTAAACTTAAACCGATGAAATATCTGAATCGATGAGTGCTGTGAGGCTGCTGACCTCTTGCCCTTTCCTCTATTCCCTCTCTTTCTACGCCTGTCTGCCCGTCTCTTTCCCTCTGCGTCTGCCCTTCTCTTTCTCCGGCTGTCTCGTCTCCAGCTTTAGCCGCAGTCATTTTGGCTGCCAAAACTTGTGCACGATTTACGTCAATTGGACAAGCGCCAGGACACGCCTTAACCCCGCAGTGCCTCCGTCCACCCATTTAACCCCACCCCACCACCCAAATCCCACAGCAGCTCCTTTGCCTTTGCGAGCTCTATGTTTACCTAAAATGCAATTCTCCCTGCCCGTTGCAGTTTTGCATTTATTATTGGTAGAGTGGGTGGCCAGTGGGTGGGCGGTTGGCGGCTTGGAAAAACCATTTCCCATTTTCCATTTTACTTTACCACTTTTGCCTTTGAAAATTGCACAAAAAATCCGCCCTACTGCTATGTATATATATTTTTTTTTTATTTACGCATGGCAAATAAATGTTGAAAATAATATGATGGCTGCTGTGCTGCTGTGGGGTTAAGGAACTTTTTGCTAGCTTCGTTTTCGTTTTCTTGGCTTTCGGTTTTCCCCGAAACCCCCCCACCAACTTTTTATTTTTACCATTTTTCCACTATTTTTTTCTTCTTCTGTTGGCCTCGTGTATTTTACTTCTTGTCTGCGTTTATCTGGCATTAGAAGCAAGAAAAATTATGTTTGCGGTCGAGGAGAAAAAAAGTGGGGTTTTGTCTGCGCTGCAGCAGATAATAAAAAAGAAGCCGCAGCGAGTCCAAAATGCGAAAAGAGGGCCCAGCCAACGACCCTGAATGAAAAATTATGCTCAATGCTGTTTGAATAGTTTTCCCCGCTTTTCCGCCCTTCGCAGGCGGAAAGAGGGCGTGGCCGGGGTTCAAGTGCAAGGCACAGACGAAATTTGAGGTGACAAAGTGTGTTTTTTTTATGGTTTAGTAATTTCGCCAAAAATAATTAAACAGAGGTTTTTACTCGACCACAAATTTATTTATTTTCCTTGTAATAAAAATGATTTGTTAATTGATCTCAAGAATTTAGCCACCAAAACACAGACTGTTTAACCTTCACCATCTCAGCTTATTAAATACTAAAATCCAGCATTTAACAGGGAATTTATAGCAATAACTTGATGAAAATTTTGATAAATGGTGCAGTTTTGGGTCACCATTCTACAAAACATCGAAAACTTTAAATTAACGAACACAAAATATCACATTAAGCGTACCGCATCTTAAAATTACACAAATTTAGAGTTTTGACATAATCAAATAAAAATTGGCAAAGTTTTGGGTTAAAAATGTCCAGTTTTGGGTCACCTTTTGCGCTAATCTTAGCTAAAAGTAAGGGGTAAATGCCAATCGCTTTCCCTAATCGCTTGTGGGCCGTTGGATTTTTTATTCTCGGCACTTTTCGCGACACCCAGTTGGGGAATCACCTAAAACTATTTGCAGACCATTGGGCTAAACACTTTGGCGGCTGCTCTTCACGCACTTAACGGGCAAATAAAAGTTGCCGGTGGGCGGAAAAGCGGAGGCGGAAAAGCGGGAAATGCGGAGGCGTTATGTCCGAAGGAAAACCAAATCCTCGAGCGCCTGTGGCCATAACTTTCTTTCTGTGTGCCGTGTGCCATTGGAATGAAATCTAAAATTCATTACGCATTTTATGCGTCAAAAGGAGATTGGGGATTGTGGATTGGGGAGAAATGGTTGGTGGGTGGCACGTAATGAGGCGCGTGCCTGGTCTGAACCTGCCCCATTCCACAAATGGCATTTATGTCCCAATGGAGACACGCACAAAACGCGACGACAGCAACGCCTTCGACTGTCTCCTGTCTCCTGTCCCCAGTTTTCCTCGTCGCTTTTCCTCCGGATTTTCCTTTCCTCCTGCGCCAGCAATTTACCCGCCGGAATTGTAAGCTCAAGCGTCCGTGTCTCCTTTGTCGCTGGTGTGGTTGTCTTTGGGGAATAAGATGAATTACATGCTACTTCAGGCAGCCTCCATCTCCACCTCCTCCACCCTCAACCTACACATCCATCTACAGCTGCTGCTCCTGGAAGGACTCTTCTCCCTGGGCATGCAAAATCATGCAGATAACGCACAAAAAGGTACCAGAAACTAAATCCCCCATCGCATAGTTTCGCAGCAGGAAGTCCCTTTAAAAACAGTGGAACTTGAGCACTAAGAAAAATAGCAAAACAACAAAAAAAAGAAAATAAGAAGAGAAACAGAAGCTCAGGGAAGAAAGAAAATAGAGGAGAAGAAAGAACACAAAGGAGAAGAATCGCGAGTGGGAGAACCTAACAAATACAAAAGAAGCAAAGAGTCTGCTTTAAATAGGAAGTGCAAGTAATGCTTGCTTAAATAATTTAAGGAAAATATTCAAATTTCCAAATGAAGTGCATTCTTAGTGACGTTGGTCACACTAGTTCAGTGGTGTGACCATGCTACTTTCAACAGAGGCAAATGTAGTATATTTTCATATAGTTCAACCTCTTATTTATAAGATCTACATTCTAGATAACACCGAATAGCACTGCAAAACTGCATCTTAAAGACACGCCAAACGTAACCTAATTTGCAGCTTGAGTTCCTCTTTTGAAACCGATCCGTTGGGCTGCCAGCCACCCCATGCTGTTCGAAATTTATGGAAATTCCCATTTAACAATTTCCGCCTTGCATCGAAAGCAGTGTGCCGGTAAAAAGGGAGACAGAGAGCGAAATCAACCGCACGGAAATCATGTCTACGCATCATTCTTTGTGCTATTACTCTACTAGTCCACTCCCCTTTTCCCCACTATAGTATATTTCTTCCTTTTTTTGGCATTCCTGTATTGTATTTGGTTTCGGTTTGAGTATGTGTGTGTGTGATTTTGCGTGGCTGTGTGGAAATGTGTGATAAGCAGTTTCCGCCAGGGAATAGACCACACATGAATATATATATGTATATATGGTGGGGATATGTATGTGGCATGGTGTGCAAAGATAGTTCTTTGAATGCCTAAGCTTCGCCCTTTTTCTTTTCATTGGCGTCGAACTGTCCAACACGACAAGCCGGCACTTAGGAAAATATATATTATTATTTTGTATAATATTTCATAAAATTCCACTTTAAAGTTATGTATTTTTCAAAATTTCATATTAGTTGGTCAAATTTGTATAGTGTGAACATGCGTCCTAATTAAGGGTATTTTATTTAATGCTGAGAATGCTGATCTAAGTATTAACTTTTTTAACAAATTCGTAGAAATATCATCATTAGGTGAGTGGTTTCTCTGAGTGCACGGATGCCAGCAGCAAACTTACTTTGGACCAAAAAAAAAGAGGGCAAGGCTTCGGAATTGAGCCACATCTCATAGTAAAAGCAAAGGAAGCTGTGGCTACTAATGCAAATATAATGGCAAATGTTTCGGAAATATATTTCACAGATAAAATTGATAAAGAACACGCCGCCGCCCTTAATCCACCCTCGCAAAATCCATTGTATGCGGCGGCAAGCGGAAAACTATTTGCTCGCATTTTTCCACACTCCCATTATCCAGCAGCATTCACAAACAACGGCAACAAAAAAGGAAAACATCTGAAAGACTACTCCTCACTTGTGATTCCCAGTCGCCTTTTGTATCCTTTCTGTTTCTTTCTTCTTCTGTCCTTGGTTTTCTTATCTATCAATCTATAACTCTCATCATATTTGAGGATTGTTCAGGCAGGCGAAAAAGGTTGCAGATTTGCCTCTTATATCCGGTTTTGAAAACATGTTCTGCTCTATAGAGTGATTTAAATATAAGATTTCTTGGGTATTATTTTTGTTCATTGTAATTGATAGCTTTGATTCAACGTAATTAAATCAAATGACCACACTGAAAGCGCAGTGTGACCATGCGTGCTAAGAAATATTCTTAATCCCCTGACTATCTCGTGCAATTTCAATTTGCCTGATGAACATCATAAGCCAAAGTTAAGACTTTAGTTACTTCTTGACCATTTACATTTGCCGCCACTTAAGCTCACTTTCAACGTCTTCATTCGACTTCTCAAGCTCACTTCCCCACTTATTTTTCGTTCCCTCCACAATAAATGTCAATTTGGCACTGCTCTCAATCAAATAAGTTTGCTGTTGAAAGTTGAGACTTCCTTTCGCCCTTTCACATCCTTTCAATTTCTTTCATTTGTCCGAGCAGCTAAAGCCCCAGCTAATTTCTGTCTCTTTCTCCACTTCTTGGCTCACTCAAACTATTTTTATGATTCTTGAGCTTAAGTAATCGAAATAAATAAAACGGAATCTGTGTCACAGATTTTCTGCCATCTGGCCAAGCAAAATGTAAACAAAATAAATAAGAGAATGGCTGCGAGAGTACGAGATGAAGCCGTTGACAATGGTATTCCCCACAGGGTGGGACTGTCGTCCCTCCATTTCTCAGTTGCCCTTAGTGGAGCAAAGGCAAAAAAAAGAAGAAAAATCTAATATAAATTCCATTACAATTATATAAATTTCACTTAAGTTTGCAATAATTTGAAAGCCTGAGATGCGACAGAAACGAGTTAAGCGAGGGAGTACTGTACTGTGGAGCAAAAAAAATAAATGGAAAATGGAAAAGGGGAAATGGGCAGCAAAAGAAATGCATCATAAATTTTCATGTTGCTCTCGCGATTTTCTATTGTGCTCCACTGGAGAGTGGCGAGCAATGGACATAAAAAGCCAAGCCCAAGACAGCGGCAA